ACTAACTCCAATCGGCCGCTGGGGTCTCGAGCAAAAGCTTCTACGCGACACCCAAGGCCTACTCCCCTCCTCAAACTCAAACAAGAAGCCCTCAAATCCACGCTACATGCAATTCCTCTCATTAACCCACTACCCAACCCATGGCTTCATCTACACCGCGGAGCCCGAGAAACCCACCGCTGCACCAATCCAAAATCCAAATCAAGGCGCGCCCGGCCCTGTAAATGCCATCGCGCCAGATCACTCTCCCTCCCCGCCAATGGTCATGACAACTATCCCCCCTTCCTCGTACGGAACCCTCTTCCAGCACTTTACCTACGCTTGCCAGCCCTTCTGGAGCCACCGGCTCACGCTAGCTGTCCCGAACGGGATCGTCTACGAAGTCGGTGACTTCCGAGTGCGTCTTGGTGATGTGCGGCAGACGTTCCCGACGGCGCGGGTACGTGGTACTGTTGTTGAGATTGAGTGGCGTGGTCCGTCAGTCGTGGAGGCCATTCCTGTGGATCGGGAGGATGGGTCGTTTGATGTTGGTGTTGATGCTGGAGGTGAGACTGATATGGATGTTGAAGCTGCGGGTATCGACCTCGCTAGCTCCGCGATTGAGGAGTCGGATATCGATGCTGAGTATGCGGCGACTGCCTCGCTGATTCGGGAGTTTTGGGGGAGGTTAGGTGTTGAGGCTCGGGAGGCGATTCTTATTCCGAACGTCGGGAAGGAGGTCAAGGATCGGTTGAGGAGGTGGAAGAAAGCTGGGTCCGGGGTTGCTACTGGGGCTGATACTAAGGTCGATGGCACTGGCTCTGTGGTTGGTGAGCGTGCTGAGGAGGATCCTGATCCGTGGTCTGGGGCGGATGTTGCCAGGCAGTTTATGGAGGTTTTGAGGTTTAATCGGTAGCTGTATGCTTAAAAGGTGGGTTTTGGTATGGAAGAATTGTTACTTCTTATACGCTTGCTACGGAGTTTTGTGGACATGGCTGGTTGGCACAAGGTGACCATGTTGAAAACCCAGCACCATCAGGGTCATAGGAGAGGGAGAGAGAGAGAGCCATCATTCCTTTATTATGAACACTTGACCCAAAGTACCGCCCAGTCCATTCCGTCTGCATTTCAAAGCACACGCTTGATCGTAAATCATCCAAGATGTATAGCCTAGTGAGCATAGACTACAGGAAATCGGTATTGGAAAATTGAAATGGAAGAGAAACATTCTCGTTAAAAAACCGCGACGTCAGCTAACATGGAAAAAGGCGCACGGTGGGAATGCATCGTTTATTTTTGCATCATGAGCTGAACGAACTCGTTGTCTGTATAGAGATTGAGAGGTTAGCATTTGGGGAGGCAAGTGCCCGTAGGCTCCACGTGTTTCCAAAACATACAGTCGATTCGGCCATCACCATCCTGGTCTGCCTCGCGGATCATCTCGTCCACCTCGTCGTCGGTCAGCTTCTCACCAATGGAAGTCATCACGTGGCGAAGCTCGGCGGCGGAAATGAAGCCGTTGTTATCGCGATCGAAGACCTTGAATGCCTCGCGGATCTCCTCCTCGGAATCGGTGTCCTTCATCTTACGAGCCATCATGGTGAGGAATTCTACAGCATGTCAGTAGCCGTCTCTCGTTTATATCAGTAGGTTATGGTGAAGTACCGGGGAAGTCAATAGTGCCGTTGTTGTCGGCATCAACCTCGTTGATCATATCCTGCAATTCCGACTCAGAGGGGTTCTGACCCAGCGAGCGCATGACTGTGCCAAGCTCCTTGGTGGTGATTTGTCCTATTTGTAGCATTGTATGTTAGAATATCTTTCTTCTTGAAATTCCATCGCTGAGGACACTGCCGTGGGCTCAACTGAGCTGTCGGGCGCGACCACACGTACCATCGCCATCCTTGTCCTATTTCGCAACAAAACAAACCCCGGTCAGCATGTTTTCGACAATCATGTCTCAATTTGATGTGGAGTCACTCACGAACAGGGAGAAGGCCTCCTTGTACTCAGAAACTTGCTCTTCGGTGAGGGAATCAGCCTAGAGAATACGATGGTCAGTGAGGTTCAAAGGGACGATTATGCCCCGCAATGTGGGGGTTTTATTTTCGACAACACAACTAATAATGTAGGGGACCAGGGACATACCATGATGAATGTAGGTGGAAAATACAACAAAGTAAGGAGGGGTCAAATGAAGAAGAGGGTTAAGGGGAACAGCCTTACGAGTGTTACCAAAATAGCGTGCCTGAGGTGCCCAGTCAGCGTCGTTTCATCTCAGGGCGGTGGGACTCTTCTGGGGCTGAATGTTGCCACAGCTGGCCCCTGGGTATATATGGATTCTTGGCTTTGTTATTTTGTTATTGGGTTAGATAATATCTGATATCTTTTCAAAGGTACTATCTAAATCTAATATATCTCTTACATCTTGTATCATACTGTGGATGTAACGCCGGACAAGAAAGCTTGATCCCGTGGTCCCAGGGCTATTCTGAGCGAGCTTACCGTGATGATATGCCGGAATAGACAAGGAGTTTAATTGATTTAATTGCATTAGGAAGGTCTTGGCTGTTGTTTTATTTTGGATCTCTTTTATTCTTTTTACTTTGTAGAGTATGTATGTATAGACTACTGCGGGGTGGGTTTATAGATCTAGAACCAAGCAGACGAGATATATTATAATAGCCCTGTATTAATGGAATATAGTTATCCTGCTTTTGTTCAGTCTATTAGCCTTCGAATCTGCATCACTTTGAGACTATATAGTTACCTATTTGGGCCATATTGTGCTCGAATTTCCGGGGTGTCGATGCCACTTCCAATTAAGCACACGACCTATACCTTATCGTAAGTCATTGGAAGTAATTGTCACGATGAGACAAGCGATATCAGTATCCTTTAGTAGAGGATATGTACAGATCAAGCTGTCTTTACATCTTACCCTGCCATACCAAAATTACCCCACTCCACCTGGACAAAACCACAGATTACATGATGAATACCGGGCATACGTGACCCCTTCCGACATGCGGAGAGCTCCTATCATCCACTTCCGACTACATCGAGACTCTAAACCATTCAATCCCAGCCTAACACTCCCACATGATCATGGTTCCTATAACCTCACCAAACGAATAAACTATCCACACAGCTCGATCCTCCGGACGCCCTCACAATGTGGCGGGATCGAACCAACCTGTATGCAATCCCATATACCCTACCCCAAGCGCAACCCGTCAGCGCCGGAAAGAGCCAAAAAGAAAAGAAAAGAAGAGACACCAACCAATCTACAAAGCATAACAGCAACTAACACTCCACTTCCAAACCCAGTTACCTCTCCTACCGCCAATCCCTAATCCACCACCCAGCCAAAAAGCCACACTTCACACCAACAAATGGCTTCTCCGACACACCCTCGCACCCGGAGGAAAACAGGCGCCTAATATCCGAAACAGACGAAGATGGCGACATGGTCATCGAGATGGACCTTCTCCCGCCGCGCTGGGTCGACGTGCAGGAAGAGGTCTCCGAGCTGTTATCCGAGATCGCCCAGAACTCCGCCCAGCTCGACAAGCTACACCAGAAACACCTCCTTCCCGGCTTCGGCGACGAGGACCTGCGCAGACAGGACGAGGGAGTTATCGAGCGCTTGACGCAGGATGTCACGCGCTCCTTTCATGATTGCCAGCGCTCCATCATGCGCATCGAGACTATGGTCGGCGAATCTAAGGCGCATGGTGGTGTTACGAGTGGGGAGGAGACTATGGCGAAAAATATTCAGATTTCACTTGCTGCGAGGGTGCAGGAGGCCAGCGCCAGGTTTAGGAAGAAGCAGAGTACTTATTTGAGGAGTATGGGATCCTTCTTTCTTTTTGTTGTTCTGTTCTTGTTATTGTTCTCTTTTCGTAGTGGAGGCGGAGTTTGTTGGTTCAATATGCTAATTTGGTGATTTATTCTTTGCAGAATTGCGAGATCTTGAGGGTATCGCGACGCCGTTTGATGGCACGCCTACGCAGGCCCAGAACCCATACACGGATCCATCCATGATGGAGTCAGATGCCGACAGGTCCTTTTCGCAGACGATGTTGCAGGAGACATCGCAACGGCAGACCGGTCAGAATGATGCTGCTATTGCGCAGCGGGAGCGCGAGATCAACGATATCGCAAAGGGCATTATTGAACTCTCGGATATTTTCCGTGAACTGCAGACCATGATTATCGACCAAGGAACCATGTTGGACCGTATAGATTACAACGTTGAGCGAATGGGCACCGAGGTCAAGGCTGCGGACAAGGAGCTGAAAGTGGTATGTTCCATCTTTTTTATTCGATGCCGCTAGAACGAGACTGACTCATATAGGCTACGAGTTATCAACAACGAACCACCAAGCGTAAGATCATGCTATTACTCCTCCTGGTCGTGGTGGGGATGATCATTTTACTGGTTGTGAAACCAAAGGGGAGCAGTTCAAAGCCGCCGCCACCTCCAGAGGATGAATCGTCAAACAATATCCGCTCTGTGTTAGCTTATCGGGGGCGAAGGCATCAATTGTCGAACCGCTTCGCACGAGATCGGTGGATGGATCCGGATATATTCCGATAACGTTTCTTTTGCAAATAGCATTGGTTCATAGTCAATGTGACCAGAAGAGCAGACATGCCCGTTGCATATTGATAGTTGCTGTAGTTGCTTAGTTTTAGTCGCAAGTAAATACCTACATAGGTAGGCTCCTACACGATGTATGTGGAGACGCTAGACACTATCAAGACACTTGAATGGAGAAAATTCGGAGAAGATCGGACTACAAGTCTGTGATCTATGCCATATGTTACATGGTCCAACTCATACATTTAGTTACTTCATACACGAACAGAATGATACCCAGCATAAACCGAAACCAGAATGAGAGGCAGTCGATGGAATAGAGAAAGAAATGAATAAATCACACCAAACAAGGGAAGCCGACGCACATAAATTACCAAGGTAACACATGGCCTCCACGATAATGCTTCAAGCTCACTTACTGTTTACCCTGAGTGGCAAGCAGGTCAGCCACATCAGCATCTAGATCGCCGGCAGCAAAAGCCGCATAGTCCTCCTCGCCATGCGAGATCTTGCGCCTCTTTGCATGACCATCAGCAGCGACATTGAAGTCATTTCCATGGTTCGAAGAAACGGCTGTGAATTGATCAGTGAGGGCAGTTCCGTTGCCTGACTGCTGCATGTCGGGGATGTTCATGGGGTTCCATTCCGAGGTGTCGTCCGCCTCTTCGGTAAAAGGGCCGCGGCGAAGCTGCTGCTTTTCTGGCTGTGGGGACCCCACCGGCGTAATAGCTTCCACCGGGGGAGGCGTCAAAGCTTCGACTTCTGGGCGGGCGGATGCATCATGGTGTCGGCTGTGTCCGCCAGGGTTTGTAGAGGGCTCTTCACCGGGCAGACCGCGCATAATCGCATCCTCGACCTCACGCTTCTGGTTATCGACTGAGGCTTTCTTCTGCGAGAGCTCGGCGCTAAGGCCCTCCTCCTTAGATAGCTCTGCACGGTTGGTCTGGAGGATCTTCTCAAGCCCATCGATCAAGGCGCGGCGCGACTTGATTACCTCAGAGACGGAATTTTCTGCGTTGGCGAGCGTCTTTAAGAGTGAACTCAGACGTGCAGCGTGAACGGGCAGTGTAGGCTTCGGTGTCTTTGGATCGTGAAGCTTATCGAACTCCGAAGTAGCGGTAGAGGCGGAATTGTTGGAGCTGATGACAGCCTTGTTGACAGCAACCTGCAATGGGTTGAGGGGCTGCAGTTCGGATGGGGTGGATCCTGAAGAATCGTCCTTGAAGAAAGATCCTCCGAGGGATTGCTTCTTGTTTGTAGGACGGGCTTTGTCAAGTTCTGCAACATGATCAGTTTGGCTAGTGCTTCGTGCCCATTGATCCAACCTACCGTCTATACGAGCTTCCACCGCATCCAAAATAGCTCCGTCGAATACACTGCGTTGTCTCCAGACCTCCACGACTCGGCGGATCCTTTGCTGGTATTCACTCGGCGAACCCTTGTAAGCCGCTGACGTAGCGTCGACAATTATCTGTTGTTCCGTTAGTTTGAGTTGCAACGGCGGACGGGCGGGGAGATGGACCGGGGATAGCGCAATGAGGAAATCATGTTTTCCGCGCACTTTAGATTGCTGGGCAACCTCTGTATATAATCAGCAAACGAGCGGAGCTCAGGTATGGGAGGGACATGTGTACCATTAGCTAGGTAGATCAGGTTGAGTCGCTTGGGAGGTGGCGATTCGCGAATCTTTTGAAGCCAAATTTGTCCAGTCCGTTCAGCATGGCGTCTAAATTCACAGCCAAAAATTAGCAAGCTTCTCTGAGATTGGAGCAAGTGCCCGTACCTATGGAACATGACCCATTGCGCGACAGTAACGATGCTCTCCTGCGTGTCGTTCAGAGCTGATAGCTTTGCTTTAACAGCATCATCAGTGAAAGCCATGGTGACAAAGGCAGTAAGCACTTGAATTAAACTGTGAGCTTTTGAAAAGTGGAATTATCAGATCTGAAGTGCAAGTCGCAATCACTGTGGAAGCAAATCGGAAACGAGGAGCAATTGAAGACCTCTGGTGAGATTTAGAACTGCAGTTAAATTGCAATCAGATAGAGCCACCGTAACAAAGCAAACGGAATATCAGACCAAGATCTCAACTCTCAACCTTCTTCATAACAAGTGAAGTTGAAGTGGCTTGTACCCCAAGCTTGAAACATGGATAAGCTTACCGCCCCGGAACCGGCAGAACAACGGGGCTCCGAGCCCGCCCCGGCCACACCTGTCAACACTACTTCCTATAACTATCAACTTCCTGGCCCTTTGATTACTTCTCCTCAAGACCATCTCCTTGATCTAAACGACTTTATTGAATCATACAACAGTCAAATACAATCCATTCCCAGCATGGCTGACCGTTTCCCTTCCCTAGAGGACTTCTCTGAGGGTATGCTCAACCCACCTTACTTGCTCTCCTTACACCCGAGCTAACATGACCCGCATTTAGGTCAAACTGAAGTAGCCGACGTCCAAGCCACCACAGATGATGATTTCCTTGCCCGTGAGCGTGCCGCACTCGGTGAAGACGCTGAGCAATTCGCTACTTCTCAAGACCACGTTGCTGGTGCGAATGTAGGCGCGGTGGATGACGACTTGCTCGGCGGAGGTGACGAGCCCGCTGAGGAGATTGGCCAATTTGAATCATCCTTCCCCTCCGTTGTGACACAGAACCAGAACGAGGTATGAACGGCTGCTGAATACATGGTGGTAGACATATGCTGACCAGGGGTTACATATACATAGCGCGTTGCTCCCGGTGGCACAATCACTGGCTCCGGCTCACCCTTCCCCCGCACCGGATACCAGAGCGCTCAGGAACCCGAGGATGAGGGAGATGCTGTTCGGTGAGTTGAACCCCAGGCTCAGGATGACGGGGCGCATTGCCTTTGCGATCTGCATTCATCTTGTTTCAGCTCGGATCCCCAAGCTAACGTATGTCTTTCAATTCTCAGTGAATGGCGCGAGAAACGTGATTCTGAGATCGCCCGCCGTGCAGAGGTCTCCGCCGAGAAGAAGGCTAGTACCGTCAAGAAGGCACAAGAGGATATTGATGATTTCTACGTTTCCTACAACAACAAGGCCGATAAAAACCGCTCCCACACCCGCGCTGAGGCTGAACAGTTCCTCGCCAACCGGGAGGATACATCTGCGGGTGGCACCAGCTGGGAGCGCATTGCTAAGTTGGTTGATGTATCGGGCAAGGGCTCCGCGGGCGGTGCCAGCGGCTCCGGAAAGGAGCGCTTCCGCGAATTGTTGCTCGACCTCCGAAAAGACCAGGAGGCTCCTGGCTCCAGCGGAATCTAGGTGGTTTGTTTCTGCGCGTGGGGATAGAAGATTCGGGAGTCCGGGGTTAAGACGTGGTATCCGCAAGTTTCCCACATTTACTCATATGATATGGCTTTTTCTATATTCCCCTCCCCGCATCATTTGGTAGCCTAACCGTGATCTGGCCGCCACGTCTCTTGTTCCCTTTATTTTATTTTGCTCCACGCAGCGAAGTCTCTAGGGGGTTTTGTAAATTAGTATCTCATTCAAATTGATAGCATCGTTAATACCACGGGTTTCCTTCTCCGGCCGATTAGTCCTGATTAGGTATCTTTATTATATGTTTAATAGGGAGATTGGAAAGTTAAAAATGTACAACGGTCTTGGAAGTGGTTGGTAACCTGTTCTCTGATCAAGAGAAATAAATGCATACCTAATTCATATCATCATCGCTTTTCGCATCTCCTTAGTCAAGCTCGGTGACATCGCCACCGGGCTCACCCACTTCTTGCTTTCCCTCTTCTTCCAACTCCTTCAGTTTCTTCTGGCCCTCTGCTGTCGTAGCGTCCACGATCCCTTCCTCCAAGCTGAGCATACCACCATTGCCCAATTGCTCCACAACGACCTCTGCCTCCTCGACGGACATCTTGCCGAGTACCTTGTTGACTTCGTCCAAAGACTCGGTTGCCAGTGCCTTTTGCAGGTCTTCAGGGAAAGCGTCGAAGATCTTGCGGACCTCGATCTCAGTGGGGTCTTCGCTGTTGGCAGCGGGAAGGTTGATGGTGATCTTGGTGTTGGGGTCAACGGCATGCAGCTGGATTTGCTCTACGCCCGCAGGATCGTTCGATGCTGAGCCATCCTTGCTGAGTTCAGCGGAGCGAGATTTGATACGAGCATAGGTCTCATTGACATCATTAAGGAACAGGGTCGATGCGCGGTGATCTTTGGTGGTGATGCTAGAAGTGTATATGTTAGCCATTGACTGGGGGGAAAGTACAGGAGACCGACATACCGAGTGAAGAACAGCTGGATACCGTCACGACCAAGCGAACGGCAGTATTGCAGAAGCAGACCTTGGTGCACGCACTGGCGAGCATAGTCTTCTTGGCCCTTGAGCTGACTGTTGAATGCCTCAACAAGTAGACCGTCGGTCTCTTTCTCGGCGACAATGTCCGGGTTCGCTGAGATGAACTGCAGATAGGCCTTGTAGTCTCCAGGCTTGAGCTGAGCAAACTTCTTAGCCAGCGGGCTAATCTCGACATCGGCAGGATCTTCATCATCGCCTTCATTATCGGCTTTGGCGGCGGAGGTTCCCGCCCCAGGGTTCAGGAGCTCAACAGAGTTCTCCTTTGTTTTGGCAGCCGCCTTCTCCTTCTCAGCAATTTTGGCCACATGTGATTGATTGAAACCTTCATGTAGTTTATCACTGGTGATCTTAGCTCCTTCCTCCTTCTCAAGTTGCGCAAGCTTCGTGAACAATTCCTTTTGGAGTCCTTGAATCTTTTCCAAGTGTCCATTCACGCCCTGGATGTATGCCTTGAAAAGGTTCTCGGGCTTAGAATCGCCAATTTCCTTCTTCACCTGATCCACCAGTGAGCTCATCATCTGGGAAAACTTGGGCTGTTCCGGCTCGTGTGTGTATACTCCTTCCGGCGGGGTGGGGGCTTGGTCTTCGGCGGGGTTGCTTGCGAACTCCATAATCGTAGTGAAGATGAACTCATCGGGGGAGGCAGACGAGTCTTCATGCTTCTTGAGAGACTCAAGAAGCTTATCGATGCGCGACAGCAACCCATCATTGATAATGCGCTCGTACTTCAGGGTTTTGATTTCATGGCGACGCTGCTCTCGTTGCTGGTGAATCTGGGCCTGCTTCGCTCGGATGAAAGAGCGCTTATCGACATTGGGATGAACTTCGACATCCGAGTCATCTGACAGCTCCAAGGCGTCCCATTTGCTGTAGTCAAGCACCATCTTGTCTGACAGTGAATGCGCAGAGTAGAGGCGGGGTGGGTGTATCAGCAGCAGAGGAAACAGGTGACAAACAAAAGTTTTGACGATCCTGACGCAAAGAATGATGCAGTGAGTTGAGCGATATTATTTTGAAGTGATTCAACCTAGTGAAATTCGAAATAAATGAAGCTTCTGGCCCCAGAACCGGCGAACTATCCAGAGCTCTCGACTGCCTTCCATGGGCGGTAAACAAGGGCAAAATCACGAGCGGTCGACCCAGGCAAAATCGGCCCCGAAAACCGCTTTGCCGATGGCCGTGGGCGTCGGATGAAGCTCTAGACACATCCGCTCTTAATTCATCGCACGTTCCAAGGAGCTGAATGTGTACCATGTGATGTGCTCAACCTGAACTTATTCCGTTTAGATATGGCATGTCAACGTCTTATTCGGTGACATCATTGTAACTCCGTTCCATTTCGATCCTTCTCCGATCCAACTCCGGGATGCGCGGTGCCAGGCTGCCTGTGTCTCTGGCCTTGGGCGTCAGCCCACGGCAGGCTTTGAGACCATATAGCTCCTTTGCTTGTGACCTGCTTCCCAAAGCGAGACCGTCTATTGTCTCTCCCGGCGACCACAATGGGTTGAACCGTCTCTATTCAACCGCCTCTGGTACACTCCGGAATGGTGCGAACCCACTCTTGCTTCAAAACAACAGCTCCAAATATACCCCTTCTACGTCTCACATTGTCTCCCAAGCACGCCTTCTATGTTCAACTTCTCAACTTTTCCAAGCGAAACCACCCGCAACCTCCACAGTCCCGATTACCCGGTCAGCTCCAGAACTAAAAGAAGAAGTGGAGGAGGACAAGGGCTTTGAATTGTCTGAGCGAGCAGCGCAGGCAGCGCAGGTCAACATGAGCGCCAGATTGGCCAAGGAAGGCGCATCGGGAAAGAAATCCGGATTCGCCGAAATCTGGCGGCTTTTGAAGATCGCGCGCCCTGAATCCAAGGCCCTTGGTTTCGCCTTCTTTTTCCTCCTAATCTCCTCGTCGATCACAATGGCAGTTCCTTTCTCCATTGGTAAAATCATGGACTCTGCGACCAAGAGCGTAACTGAAGGAGGGGGTGAACTGTTCGGCTTGAGCATGCCCATGTTTTACACTGCTCTTGGTGGAATCCTACTTATCGGTGCTGGTGCAAACTATGGGCGCATCATCATTCTTCGAATTGTTGGTGAACGAATTGTTGCCAGGTTACGTTCCAAGCTTTTCCGTCAAACCTTCGTGCAGGATGCCGAGTTCTTTGATGCCAACCGGGTTGGTGATCTGATCTCGCGCCTTAGCTCCGACACTATCATTGTTGGCAAGAGTATCACGCAGAACTTGTCCGATGGCCTACGAGCTGCTGTCAGCGGTGCAGCTGGGTTCAGTCTAATGGCCTATACTAGTGCAAAGCTGTCTACTATATTGCTTGTGTTGCTTCCTCCAATTGGCCTCGGCGCTCTCTTTTACGGTCGAGCCATCAGGAACCTCAGTCGCAAAATGCAAAAGAACCTGGGATCGTTGACTAAGATTGCGGAAGAGCGCCTGGGCAACGTCAAGACTAGTCAGTCGTTTGCCGGTGAAGTTATCGAAGTCAACCGGTACAACAAACAAGTCCGCAAGATCTTCGAGCTTGGCAAAAAGGAGTCTCTGATTAGCGCAACCTTCTTCAGCTCGGTGAGTCCGAAGTCTTGATCTTTTAGGCTCTTTTTTGCGATTCTGACTGACTTCTTACTAGACTGGCTTGATGGGCAACATGACCATCTTGACCTTGCTTTATGTTGGCGGTGGGATGGTTCAGTCGGGTGCCATCAGTATTGGAGAATTGACTTCGTTTTTAATGTACACGGCTTATGCAGGCTCCAGCATGTTCGGCCTCTCCAGCTTCTATTCAGAGCTGATGAAAGGTGTGGGTGCGGCGAGTCGACTCTTTGAGCTGCAAGATCGTCAGCCCACGATTCACCCAACCAAGGGTCTCAAGGTTGAGACCGCGCGTGGACCCATTCGATTTGAGAATGTCACGTTCTCCTACCCTACCCGCCCCGCTGTGAAGATCTTCCAGGAATTGAACTTCGAGATTCCTCAAGGAACCAACGTTGCGATTGTTGGACCATCTGGTGGAGGTAAATCTACCATTGCATCCATTTTGCTCCGTTTCTATAATCCCACTGAGGGCCGAGTCTTGATCAACGGGAAAGATATCAATGGAATGAACGCCAAGTCCCTTCGCAGAAAGATTGGCGTGGTTTCTCAAGAGCCTGTGCTCTTCTCTGGAACAATCGCCGAGAATATCTCCTACGGCATGCCTCAGGCAACACGCTCTGGGATCATTGCTGCTGCACGCAAGGCCAACTGTCAATTCATCAGCGACTTCGTGAGTCCACCGACCAGCTATTATTTTCACGAACCTAGCTAACTAAATACAGCCTGATGGACTCGATACTCACGTTGGAGCTCGTGGGGCTCAGTTGTCCGGTGGTCAGAAGCAGCGCATTGCCATTGCGCGAGCCCTTATTAAGGAGCCTGATATTCTGATTCTGGATGAAGCGACTTCTGCCCTCGACGCCGAGTCCGAGACCCTCGTCAACAGTGCGTTGGCCGCTCTGCTCCGGGGCAACAACACGACAATTAGCATTGCCCACCGTCTTTCCACCATCAAGCGCTCCGACACGATCATTGTCCTCGGCCCCGACGGCAAGGTCGCCGAGCAAGGCTCCTACGATGAGCTCAGCTCTCACCCAGACGGCGCCTTTACGAAGCTCATGGAATGGCAAATGAGTGGTGGCGAAGCGACGCCACCTCCGGTCAAGCCTATTGAGACAGATCAGCTCTGGGAATTCCAGAAGGAGGAATTAGAGCCTGAGCTGGAGGAAGATGACGTAGAAGAGGTAGTGGAGACGGCGTCTTCGAAGAAGGAGTAATCGTACTCCACACCTCGTTCACTCCTGACCCTACCGTTACACTACCTGCGAGTCTCTTCATTCCCATTGAATTTTTCTTGTTGAAATACATGTTCCCTCATCCACACTCACCTCCCACGGTCCTCTC